ACGTCTCCTGTAGAGCTTACAGTAATTAGACTAGCAGTAAAGAGATTAATTCTATTCTTGATCTTCAACTCTAAATTGGAAGCCTCAGACTGCTTCAAGTTATACAAATCCTCTAAGGACATTGAACTGTCCTTACTAGCCAAAGCTTACTAAGTTAACCAAGACATTAACTTGTCTTTGTTACCCTCTTTTCTTACTTATCTAAAAACCCTATTCTACTAACCCAAGTAGCTAGTCTTTAAGCTACTAACCAAACCTCCTTACAGCCCATCTTCTAAGATTCCTTAAAAAGTCCCTTGCAAACAGGCAAGTGAGGCTTTAGAGTACTTAAGCAGATTAGTAGGTGGTCTTTGAATTAGTCCCCCACGAACACCAGGATAGCTTGGTTGAAAGGCTAACTCAGTGAACCCTGGAAAGAAAAGATTGGGAAAACCAAATCTAAGTATTCCATACTATACCCTTCTTGCTTTTAGTTTAGAACAGACCAAACTCCATTCTCTTTTATTAAAAAGTAGCCTTCTAGGATTTCTCCTAGAATCTTCTTTATACCAAACCTCATTTTTATTTTTTACTTACTTTTCTTATCCTAACCTTTTCTTTACGACAGCACTTCGGGCGCCCCGTAACAAGCTCGCCTCTACGGCGCCAAACAGTGTTTCCTGATGTATCGCCTCATTCATCCACAGATTGTCTTTCTGATAGCGTTCTGGGGCGGTGAGAACCGACCCCGCAATGTCAGTGGTCCGCACAGCATCCAGCGGACGGCGTGCGCTTCCATGCGAAAAAAGGAGCTCCAGCTGCAGCTGCATGCCGAGCAACGGCTCACACAGTGTCATTTTCTCCTGCGCAATCTTGCTTCTATTGACTGAACACCAGGCAGTCTGTGAGAAGCTCCAGAGAGCATATGTGGATGTACAATCAGCATCAAGCTGCGCTCATGTCATTGCCAGTGCTTTTGGCACAGCCCCATATCAGGAAGCGGACTTGGTCCGGATGCCATGTGGGCGCACCTACTCCAGTTTTATCATGTGGACCGATGACACCGGGGTCAATGGTACGGGAACTCCTCAGGTTCCGGGCTTCCTCCTTCCTCTCTGAGAACCTCAGTCATTGTAGAAAGATCAAAAGCCAGAAGAGCTTACACAGTTTGTAACATGGGAATGCGCTTGCTGCTGTTTTCCGGGGTCTGAGGTCAATGACAATGCTACTTCTCTCTCCTGTCTGCCATCAGCCTGATGTGTTCCAGCAACCCTGTGCATGCATGACACATAAAGCAGGAGCCTTTAGGGACGTGGATACGCTCACTGGTTGCTTTCTGCATAGCAATGTCTGCCGCGAAGCTAACCTCTTTGATTGTTTTGCTGAAGCACTTTCAGATCGACAATGTGAGTCAGTGCAGCACAACGCAGGGCTTGCAAGGAGTGCTAACGTACGGCGTTTTTCCCAGGATTTTTCTTGATGTGGACAGTATCTAGCTGGTGCGCTTGTTCCAAGCACAACGCTGCCTCTGTCATACTGACGTAATTCATGCATAGTCTGCGCATACTCACTACTCGTCAGTCGGCCTATATCTATCTTGCCCATTGTCTGTTGCTCAGCTTTGTCCCTCTCTCTTGCCCTAGGTCTACGACTACTTCCTTACATTCGAGAAAGAGGTTGCGTTTGTATGGAGTGCAAATTGGAATGTCACCAAGATCCTCTTCTTCCTCACGCGCTACCTCGCGTTCGTCGATTCAGCTATGGTGGTGTATCGTATGCATTTTCTGTTTCTGATGCAGATGTTCAGAGCTTACTCTCACCCTACAGACAATATAGGCACCAACCTATCAGCGGGGATGTGCAAATGGATGTCTAACATTACTGGATGTACGTCTCGGTCCTACCCCTCTCGTTCGTCATGCTTTCTGACGTCTTCCATTTAGGGATGTTTTTCTGGGGAATAGGCATTACCGAACGTGCGTCGCGTGACTAACCATCCAGATTGGATGACGGCTCATTCTTTTCCATGCTAGTCATTCTCATCATCCGGACATGGGCAATCTGGGGACGGGACAAGTGGATAGGGCTGGGCTTGTCCGCAAGCCTCCTTTGCATATTGATCGTCAGCTCGTACCTCCTCAACAAGTTCTTAAATTCGCTGAGATGTGCGTCTCGGACGTCTGTCTACCGCTAATGCCAGCTGCTGACCAGTACTTTGGCAGTTGAACCCGCACCGGCGGTCGCGCCGTCTCTGCAAGGCTGTCTCCCATCGC